TTTAGGCTATTAAATGTTTCATGGTTAAATATAGCTATTCATTACACTTCCTGCAGCACAGAACTATGGTGTTATAATCTGCTACCAGATATTACCTCTCAAATGTTGGAAATTTTAAAGTGTCTTGCTAACCAAAGGACAGTGTTGAAATTTCTTATCAGTGATGAAGGGCACTTTATTCCTATAAATCCTGCAGCAGATTAATCCCACTTCACAAGTGTTGCACTTTGAGTGCCTCATGAGGGACTTGAGACAGGACAAGTATCTCCTTAAAGAAGAATGCTTTGAGTCTTGCCATGTGACCATCTTGAGGCAGTTCCTAAGCTTGCAACTCTAGGACCAACTTGTAGAATAGTGGAAGTTGCATGATTTGTAGATTAGAACCGTAGACCATCCATTTCCATTTTTGCTTTTATGTAAACAAATCTATTCAGAGTGGAAGCTGAAAAGGTGACTTTCTAACAAATTACCACCTTTTGCAAGATGAGGGCAGGGTACCTGTTGGCTCTTTTTGATTTTATATTAACCTTTTTCCCTACTCCCCTTCCTGAAAAAAAATTTCAGCTGTTATGAATGCTAGTGCAGGTCCACTCATCACAGCAACAGTACTTCAAAAATAAGCTTGCAGATAGCCCCTAACACTTAACTAGTTTCTTCTAACTTTGCTCACGGTGGGTGTTTAAAATACCAGCATCAACCAGTGCCTTATCATGCTGTCACTGCTACCACCAGAAGAGTAGCATCTGTGTTGCCGACAAGGGGACACTTCCTTGAAAAGAGTGTAATTCACAGAGTCTTAGAGGAAATTCTGTACCCATTATGCACAAGCAGAGTTCATGTCTCCTGTAGATTTCTTTCTTCCCTCCAGAAAAATAACTTTGACAAGTAAGCAAAGGGAACCCAAAGAACACTGACATACCTTTCTCCGGCAGTGCAGGTGCTTGATTTCGGGTGCTCAGAGCATACAGCGCTACAGGAAGTGAGCTGGGAATGCCCCAGCCAATGCTGGATCTGATCTACCCTTGTCTGCCCAATGCCAGTACATCCTGGCCCCCCATACCTAGATTCTCTTGCTTCACCTCACTCCCTCATATCCAGAATTTGAACCCTCACCTTGCTAAGCCTTTCCCCCCCCTCCACAAGGTTGGGGACATTCCCTGCTATTGACTCCCAACCTGCACTGGGCTTAGCTTCTTTTTCTGTCTGTCTGGGCTTGGAGGTAGGAGGGGGAAGGTTATAACACATGTCTTTTGCTTAGAGTGGGGAGTGGCCTAGTCAGACTTACCCTCAGAAACCTCTCCTGAATCCGCATCCCTATCCTGCTCTCGGCCCCCATTGATCCTCAGCAATTGGTGAGAAGGGTCATTGTACTGGGAGTTGCTCCTTTGTTTGTCCAACCCCGTGCATCTGAATACCCACTCAGCTTTCCCTGCACCTGACCACTCCTTGCATCTGGATCCCCTCCATCAACCCCTCACACTCTCCCATGAAGGCCTCCACATCAATGAGTCCCACCCCTAGGCACATGGGCTTTCCTGACGAGGCCCCACATCTGGCTCCCCATACCACAAAGCACCAAACCCCACCCCATCAAGTCCCACTTCCCCAGCACATAGAACCCACCCTGCTGACCCCCATCCCCTCCCCTGCTGAGACTCAACCACCTAGACCTTTCTACAGCGTTCACTGTTTCTGTACCTAAAACTCACCAACAAGCCCCTGTGCATCCAAGTCTCCTGACCTCTCCTGGACTCCTGACTGAGCCTCCTGCATCCAGACTGTCCCCCATAAAAAAACATTAGCCATACATGAACCCTCCCCCAAATCTCTCGTGCTTGAATCCTGCATTGGCTGAGCCTGCCTGTCCAGGAAAATAGACATATTAGCCATGCCTTTCTAAGCTAAGTATCGGACTAAGTGTGAAATAGACCACCAGTGCCCAGTTAAAGTCCTTTGTTCATCCCAAAATAAGCCAAGACACTATACAGAGGGATGAAAACGGGTTGTACTTTAAAAGTTTCGGATTTTCCCCATTAGAACACTGTACATGCAGTCCCTGACTTACGTCGGATCCGCACTTACGCACGGGGCTTTCTCGCCCCGGAGCTCACAGGCAGCGGTCCCGCCACCTCGACCTCCGGGGCGAGAAAAGCTGCTCCCGGTGCCCCTGGTCTGCTGGGGACCGTCTCCAGCAGACCAGGGACACCGGGAGCAAAGCCGCGGATTTTCCCCATTAGAACACTGTACATGCAGTCCCTGACTTACGTCGGATCCGCACTTACGCACGGGGCTTTCTCGCCCCGGAGCTCACAGGCAGCGGTCCCGCCACCTCGACCTCCGGGGCGAGAAAAGCTGCTCCCGGTGCCCCTGGTCTGCTGGGGACCGTCTCCAGCAGACCAGGGACACCGGGAGCAAAGCCGC